GCAATCTCTTATATAAACATAAAAACTAATATGCGCCTTTGGCGCTAGTTTTAAAAAATTTTATATATTCGTTTTACATTAGGTTATAGATATATAGATGTATTCAAAATGGTCGACTGGTGGCCATTTTGTTTTAATTAATGCTGTTCCAGAGCAATATTTCTCAATATGGACAAGTACTAGTTTGAGGATCAGATACAAGATGTCAATCAATTTAATGTTAAAAAGCATCATCTTCTGGATCCATACTTCTGACATGTTTTTTGTTCCAACTATATTACTATAAACAAAACTATACTTTTTAAATTTGATAACTAACTGGGACTGTGCCATGCATGGCTTGTTAATGTGTGAATTAGTAACAGACATTGAATAATAAATGCTTTGTTCTTATTTGTTAAGATTCTGTTTTAAATTTATTGACCAACACGTATAAATGGAAGGTCGAAGTTGAAATAATTTGTCTGCAAGAAAAACATGAATAAAAAATGCGTGAATTTGACTAAATTTGCTTTCATGTCCTACAGTATTTTGATAAGTTTAAATAATTCTTGAAATACATACAATGTAGATAAAACAATAAATGATGAACAATTATTGAATATGTATGCAATGAAAATCATCATGTTGATCACCCTATGAAATCATGAATCATGAATATTTTTGCTATAATGTTACAGTGTTCTCCCCAGGAATTTAAACCACTGTGGCGGACTAATTTGCATATGATTTGCATATCATTTACATAATAATAGAGATTGACCAAAGCACATTTACACCCACATACAAACAACATATATTTTCAAAAACAATGTGGCACATATTTATTTGCTTCATACAGTGTTATAAACACTATTCTTTTGGGATATTAATGAGCTCAGTCACAGTGCAAATATTTACGTTTCACAATTTAGAAGAGTTTGAATTTAAAAATGAAAAATTGTCGAATCGAAATGCAAATGCTGCAGACTATTAAAAACAAACAAACAAATTGTAAAAGGTTAAATGAAACGCATTTGAAACGTTTCAGCCAGGAACATGTTCTCGAATTCCATGATCTTGTTTACTACAAAAACATTCTCCTTCAAAAAATTGTTCATTATTCGTACCATCAGCTTCTACAACGTTTACATTTACAGTAATGAACGAACAAATAAAACTTCCAAACGATCATCAAAGTTACGACGTGACTTAACTTACTTTGCGATGTTATACACCGGTT